TATAGTAACTCTGCGTCTTATACAAGGAAATATATAATGTGTATAATGTTCTGCACTGAAAAGACCTGTTGCTCAGTTTGTTGTTTTAATAGGTATGCTCTACTCTGCATCCTTTTTAGGTCACTGGAGTAAAATAGCTTCTGAATTGCCACATCGGACTGGATCCCAATGTCTAAGCAAGTGGAAACTCATGATTGGGTCTAAGGTATTGTACAAAATCCTGCTATGTCACAGTCCCATCTCATTAATTAAGATTCTCTAAACTGAAAGCAAAATTCTGTGAAATCAATACAAAAATTGACATTGATTTTGCAGAATCAAGGTTTTGTCATGGATGTTCACGATCTAATTCTTTGATACGTTAAAGCAGTCACTGTTCTGAAGGTCTGGTGTTAATTTGCTATGTATTTGTATATTATCCAGAACTTTTTCATTGCCTTGAAGTGCCTGTAAGGATGTGATATACCTAGGTTTTCATGTATGTACCACAGGAGTTGCCAGTTTTGGTAGCAGGTGCTCCAGAAATTCTGACTGCTTAAGACTATGTTAAAGATAGTCTTGTTTTCATTGGCAAAGCACCTGCCCTAGGGAAGGGTTCATGGAAACACGAATGTGTTGAGATGGGGCAACTATATTTAGTTTGTACTTCCATGTGCACCAGTTCTTAACACAAATTTGTCTTTATCTGTAGCTTTTTCTTTACATACAAGAATCTAAACCAATAAAAATCTGTGTCTAAAGGCAACTGTCAATTGTACTGGATTTAGTTAATCTTAGCAGAAGTAAAGTAGAACTGTGCATTTGGAATCAACACCGTACTGATAGGATACTGCCCCGTGAAACTTTTTAACTTACTGATTTGAGAGATTTGCAAGTCAAGGGTGAAAACTGGCTAAAACTTGTCGGTGCTTTTTTTGACTGAGAAGAAAAGATCTAGGCCAGCAAAACGCCGACATGTGCAAGAGAGTTCCAGCTCTTCAGAGAGTAGCAGTGAAGACATAGAACTGGACTTAGCAGACAGTTCAGAGGAGGAGATGACAAGCGAGGAGGAATGTGCATTCCCCAGCATTGATTTGTGGATTCCAACACGCACAAATACACAGGAGTCAAACAAAGGAAGATACCAAACTCCATCTCTTTTCTCGCCTGTGAGTGCTGATGCAAAGACCGGTAGCAATGAAGTTCCAAGTGCAATGTGTGATGGAGACAAGGACAGAGTTGCCAATAAATCAGAGTTGAACACCCTCCTGAGGGGCATTGCACGTCCACATTCAACGGACATCGTTGTGAAGAATCCAGTAGAAGTAATGAACAAGGTGAATCCTGGGATTCTCAGTCTGTTCTTGATGGGGTTGGAGTTTAGATCAGAAACAACAGTTGCTGCAGTAGAGAGAGATGTGATGAGTAGATGGTAAAAATCTTTTCTGCGCCTCTGTTGGCTGCTTTCTCACTATACCATTGGGGGGTGCTGTTGGAAACTGAGCTGTGGGATTAAACAGAAGTGTCTAGCACCACCTCCCCATTCATTGCCTAGAAAATAAGTGTGTTCTTTCCTACACGTAGTGTCATAGAAACAAAACTTATTTTTTAGATCTTCATAAAGCAGAATTGTCCAGTGAATTGTGCTGTCTCTACCCTGATGACTAGGGCACATAGGCTTAGAGTTTGGAATAATTAAGTTACTTATACATCTGTATCTGATTCTGAGTTGGATTTTCACCCCTGATCAGGCACTGAAGCAGTACAAACCCTCCTACCACATTTTTGTAGAAAAATACTCTTTAGCAAAATATTAAATGTCAAAATTGCCGTTTAAGTTCATGTAAGCAAAAACATTCTGACTTTTGTGCTAAGAATTGCACATGTGCCCTAGAGTGCAGGGCCAGTTGCACCAGTGGCAAGTTTGTTGGTTACAGAAGTGGTGTGTTCTGGGGGTTATGGTATGCAAGGGTTGCAAGTGCTTTAATTTTGATACAGATACAGCGTTATTTTACTAGTAGAAGTTTAGGGAAGAGTCAGTGGCTTTTCCGAACCTCTTCCTGTGCCTTCCCTTGTACTGTTAAGCCAAAAAATGTGAAGAGAATCATCCAATAAATTTTGGCCCTCAGCGTGGGTTTTTGTAGATACTTGACACAAAGGCTTATACAAAGTAGAGGTTTGGTATTGCCATAATGCACAAGGACTAAAAGGTAAGGTAACAGCAGGGATGCTGAAAACTTTGTACTTTCAGTGTATAGTCAGCGCAAGTAATTTTCTGCGAGATACTTTCCCTTTTATCTTTTCTTTTATGCTTTCATATGAAGGCTTCCAGATGTGGAAAGCAAGTGCTACAGGTTACCCTGGAGAATGTGAGAAGAGTATTAAGAAATAACACGTGCTTTCAGAGGAAACTTGTAAGTGCCTCTTCTGTCTTGTCTGCTCTTGTGATGCCAGGCTGCATTTAGTGGGAATTTTTTTTTTTTAATAGAATCACTTATCTTCTTGCTGTGTAGTCCCAAGAGGAAAAGCTCATAATTTTTTTTCATAACTGCCCCGTGAATAGTTTGTCCTGGGACTAATTATGGTAGAACCTTCCTAATTGGAGCTCTAATTATGTATTTGTTCATGCACAGCAATCAAAGATACTAAAACCTTCTGCCACCACTTTAACAAAAATACCTGGAGTTCGTACTGCTGTTGGCCAGAAGCTTCAGGGGCTGCAGAACATCACAGAGAAAACTTATCGCCAAGAGAGAGAGCGTTTGAGAAGAATGACCCTTGACAGAAAGCTTCTAATGGCAGTAACACCTTGGGTGGGCAATGTACTACTCCCTTGCACCTTGCAAACTGGGAAGATGGCTTTTCATCAGACAAAAGGTAGTCATGACCCATCAAGGATAGTACTCCTACTTTTGTCCCCACTTTCTGACATCTTGTAAGTGAATGCCCACCTGATTTTGATGTTGGACTTTTTTCCAGCTGATTCTATTCAAGAGAAGATTAAGTCAGTCAGGCTTGTGAGCACTCCCCTGTTCACACTTTTCATTCAGGTAGGTTTTACTGTCTTAGTAGCATTATCTGCTTTCAAACAGTGGTAATCTTTATTTCTGTATTTGATGCTTAAATAAATGGTTGCTCTCTGTTCTGTAAACTAATCATCTAATTGCTGGATTAATCTGACCTCATGGCTTGCATATGAAGTTTATTTAATAAATCCTGCATCCAAAATCTAATACTGTCAGGATTTATTCTGTAAGTGTAAAAATATCCCCAGAACCTTGCATGTGAAGCCTCTCCCGTCCATCTTGTATTGTCACTGGCTCTATCAGAATATTTTTTGTTCTCAGTCAAATTTTAAAGACATTCTCATCTTGCAGCTCTTTCAGATTGATACCAATGGCTGCATGAAGATTATTCGTGAGAGAAGGCTAAAGCAGTCAGAGCTTCTTAGGGCTAATGCAAGAAGGCCTCAGCAGGTATTGCACGTGGTCTGTTTCTAAGCTTTTCCCACTGAAGTCTTGACTAAAGTAGAGATTTTTCATTGTGTATGACCAGTGATGCTGTGTGTGTGTGTGTTACTAGTTTGTTTTGGTTCAGAATCATAACAATACTGGCTCTGTGGCCACTTGGATGGGATACTGGCAGATGTGTGTTTGATTGACATCTGTGCTGTTTTAATGATCTTGAGATATCTCAGAAGTATAATTTAATATAATTTTTTTGGCAGGCTTCCCAAAATATGGAGACTTCTTCAGGTACCTACCAGAATATTTATTTTTATGATGTGCAAGAACTTTCACTTAATTCATCATCGTTACATTAATGACCAATTTAACTGAAGGAGAACTTTTGGAACAAAACTACATCGTTTTGCTCATTTTTGCTAGCTCTTGGATCTTTCAGTTATTGGCTAAATATGTTACCCTTTGGTAAGGACTTGAAAAAATACTGAAGGGTTGGGGGACCAGTGGCACTGGGCCACCAGTTCTGTAGATTATTGCTGTTACGCTTTTCTCCAGCAAGGTGCTGGCTGTAGGACCTACATGGGTCCTACATAGGCTGCAGGACCTACACAGGAACATGCTGGTACCGACCAAAACCCCAGTTCGTTGTCATCCTGACTGGTGCGAAGTGCTGACCAGTATGATTCCTCATGTGCAGTGTTAAAGTGCATTCCCAGTCCATCTGTGATTTCTGCGGAAAATTGCACCATTGAACAAGTGGTAAGCTTGCAACATCAGAGCTATCTGAAAGATGTCAGAATGGGGCTTGATTAAATTATGACTATAGTGTTGTAGGAACTCTCACAAACAGGAATTGTGTTGCTTCCTGTGCAGGGTACTTGATGCTTAATAGCTAAGGAATGGCTTTTCAAAAGACTGTTCAATCTTTTTCTTTTTTTTTAATTTTATTTCCTCTCTTCTATAGGCAATTCATCACAACCTTGTACTCAGAGGAACTCCCAACGGGGTGTACCAAGGAATGCTGTCAGGAGGCCTGTTGCCTTAAAAGCAAGGGAGACTTCTGCTGCTGTCTTTGAGAACAGCAGTCCTGCCACACAGGCAGCTTTTCCAGCCCACGTGCAAAGGCAGAAGCCCAAAACTGTCTCAGAATTACTGAGAGAGAAGCGGCTAAGAGAATCCCGGGCTAAGAAAGCTATGCAGCGGACAGTATTTGTTGCCCCACAGGTGCTGGTTTCGGGGCCTCTGATAATCCAGCACCCACCACAGCACATCATTCCTTCTGCACAAGCAGGGAGTAAACCTGCAGCAGTTGGTTGTACAGATAGCCAAGTACACTGTGCACCAGCTCCATTGCCAGCATTTACTTCTGTTGCAGGTTCAAATTCTACAGCTATTGTGCTTGAAAACCATTCCTCATCAGTGCCAGAAACTGAGGAGACCCCTGGTTCTTCACAAGGGACAGAACTACAATCCAATAAGGAACTAAAAGAGCAAGCTTTGGAAAGTAGCCCTGAAGGAGGGCTTTTTCCAGGCATAAATCCAGCTGCAGCAGAGAAGGCCACAAATCAGGGAGGGTGCAGTGGTCAAGTCCTAGCTGGTAGCTCAGCTTCAGTAGTGTTGCAAAACCAAGCTTTTGTGCCACATCAAATTACAGTGGTGCCTGTTGGCATTGAGTCTGGCACCAACAAATTGTCTCTTTCCACACCAGTTACCTGTGAGCTGAATAGTAATGGGCCGCAACAGAGGCCAGTCAGTCTTTTGCCTGCTCTTGTAACTCCACAAACTGGTTCACATGTGATTCCCAACAGCCTATTGCCTTTCACGTGGGTTGTAACGCCACAGGCTTTGCTCCCTGCTGCTGTACAAACTGTGGTGGGTGTTCCCCAAGGACTGCCAGCTGCTGCTGTGAGAAGTCAGTGTCAGACAACTGTGACTTCCGATGGCAATGTCTCTAGCTTAGGGGTGCCTCCTGTACCAGCTGGAGCAAATATGCCTCACCCCAGCAGTGCAGAGGCAAAAGCACCAACTGCCCAGTTAGCAGAAGGAGTACCTTTGGGAAAGACAGCTAACCATTCCACAATTCTCTTACCAATAACCTCAGCGAGTCCTGGATTCGCCACATCCAGTGTTTCTTCTCCAACGCCAGGATGTTCAGATGGCTTCTCCAAGGCATCTGACTCCCCTGCAGCTCAGACCACTCGTCTAGCTGATGCACCAACCCTGCAGGCTGTGCTGCTGCCCCAAACACAGCTACCTGCAAGTGCTCAAGGGTCTGATTCCCAGTGTGTGTCAAGTCTCACTAGCTTGGGAAAGAGCCATGACTCCATTACAACGAATGGGTCCTCTTCCAATCCAGGCATCATCACAAAAGGGATTGTGCTCCAGCCGGGAGATCCAGTTCCCCATAACAATGTCCCAAGGAACTCTGATTGCTTTGCCACACAAGCATTGAAAAATAGACCTATTGCTTCCAAACCTCCAACTACGCAGCCTGCTGTCAGTCCACCCCAGCCAACCACTTCCAGTGCGGAAAAGAATTTACTTGACTTTAGCCTGATTTCCCTTGAAGATGAGGGGCTAGTGAAGGAGTGGCTGAATGGGAAACAAGGTGTCCAGGTACCATCACTGCAAACCAGGTTGCCTTATTTGCCACCTTTTCTGTGCAACTTGAAAACCCTCTCAAAGCTACTTCTGCAGAAAGCAGCTCTAGAAGAGCAAGCAGCATGTCTTCTGCCTTCTGATGCCAATCAGGATGAGGGCACTGGGGTTGATTTGCACGCTATCGAAGAACTGGTGCAGCAGAAACTGGGTGACAACCCTGCTTACCTCCTACTGAAAGCCAGATTCCTAGCAGCCTTTACACTCCCAGCCGTACTAGCAACTCTGCCTCCTCCAAAAGTGACAACAACTCTGTCAGCCAGCAGGAAGCAATATGAAGAGAGTGATGAAGAGGAGTGGCAGAGTGAGAAGGAAGCGTCTGAGGAAGATAGTTGTGAGAATGAATTAACAGGTGTACGGTTGGATGGGACAGTTGGTGATGAGCCTGGAGACAACGATGCTGATTTACTAAATCAGGTAAAACAGAGGTGTCAGGGACTAAAAGCAGAAAGTTACTGCCAGCTAAATATTGCTCCCACTGGAATCCAGCTTGAAAGCCTCACTATTCTTAAGTGTAGCAGAAATTTGGTCCTTTTGAATAAGCATAGTTTTGCAGCTGATAAACAGAAAAGCGCTCTAGCTCAGCTCAGAGCCCTTAGCCCTCACAAGGGTAAAAGCCTGTGTTCTATGTAGCATGTTAAACTTGACATGATAGTTTCCAGAAGTGGGTGTCAAAGCTCCCTTCCTCTTACAGCTTATAATCTGCTGCACTGACTCTGGTATTTTTAAAATTGGGGGACTGAGGTTTTTCATTGGCTGTGTCCTTTAAACCCCAATAATATCAGGAGGATTGTGTGTGTTTGCTCCTATTGCCATTTGAGGTCTTTGTCCTGAATTGTTTTATGTGACTAGAGATTATTAGAGTATATGGATTGATGTAAGCCATAATGTCAACCTAAATTCAGTCTCTGATTTTTAAGATAAATCCATTACTGCCCAGCACTGTTTCTTACAGAACATGCCAGGAAGTTGTATAGTTCAAACTTGCATTTCAATTCATTGTTGCTCCAAAATAAACAAACAAAACACAAATGAAGATGAATAAACAAGGTAAATGTCTGTTTCTACAGAAATATGGCAAAGCTGCCTAAAAATCAGAGCTTTCCCATTGTAAAAGCTAGCAGTTTCTATTCTGGCTCTGACTTTTGGGTCTGGACCAAGTTCAGTGTAGTTTGAACTGTGAGCAGTTGGTCCAAAAGTCACCAGCAATTCTTCATTGCCTGCTAACCTTGCTGACAGCCTCTGTCCTGTGTCATCTTCCACCAGGTTGCCTCCCACTCATTTTATTAACACTATAGCCAATTTTTTTTTTTCCCCTTGGTGCTTTTTGGTGAAAAGTTTGTGGTAGGGGTATGTTTCATGAGAAATTAAAAGTTTGTGTTGACCTGTGTTGTCTGAGGCACTGTCCGGCTCCAGCAGTGAAAGCTAAAGCATCACTGGTGGCAGATGTGCATCTCTCTAACGAATGGTTGTGCCCAGACAGAAACTACAGCAGTTTGGTAGCAGTAGTGTATTCTGCAGGAAGAAATGCCACTGTTGCATGAAAGTTTTGCTGTGAAAACTTTGTGTTTGCAGTGTTTTATGCTTGCTGTGACATTGGTAATAGAATGTTAATGTCCCATGCTTAATTTTGAAAGTAAATAGAAGGTTGTTCTGGAAATCTTGCTGAGCTCCCTAAAATAAAAAGGTGGCTGAAGGTGTTCTTTTGCAATTATGCAAGCTCTCATGGTGTTGATAGTCTCTTCTGCTGATGTTGCAGGGCATGGGAGCTGAAGAGATTGCTGTACAATCTGTCTTGGACTCCTGCACTGATGTGGCTGATCCCAGTGCTCCTCAAATCAGGAGAAGTGCCCGCTTCAGGAAAAGGAGGAGGATGTGAGAGGGAAATGTGTTAGTAGCTACTCAGTGAATCTTAACATTTCTTGCCTGAGAAGAGAACTTGAAACACATTTGTCTGTGCTACAGCTTAGACAATGAATCATGACCCTAGGAAAGGACTGAAATTATCTCCACTTTTGTTCCCTTAGGACACCGAGTTCTACAATCACTCATTAATCATAGACTAAGGCTAATACCTGGACTTTCATGGGGAGGGAAAGCTGATGTCTGCATGATAAAATTACGTACAAAAGTCATGAAGTTCAAACATTTGGCAGTCTTTTGATCCATGCTACTGCCTGCTGGTATTATACCTAGTTGGTAGCACTCTGCAGGCTTGGCTGCTAAAATGAGACTAGTAGCGAGTCATAACTGGTGGGACAGGAAAGCCTGAGCAGCTACTGCTGAAGAGAGGGTTTGTGTGTGTGAATGCTAAACACTTTGGCTTCTCCTGCAAAGTAAATCCTTGCTGCAGATTCCAGCAAGCTGGTGGTAAGATGTCCTTGCTTGGGGTTGTCAGGCAATCCTCTAGATCCTGGGCAGGTAGCAGCAGCTCTTTGTGTAATTTGTTCTCTCTAGCCTGACTCATGAGTCTTGAAGTGAAGAATGGTATTAAAAGCTGGTGGGAAACTGTGGCTTAAGACCAGTGGGTACTTCATTGGAGTTTGTCTTTAACGTTTCATCTTTGAATAATTTTGTGGGTGTTTTTCCCTCCAAATGAATGGCTTCATTTCTGTACATGTATAACAGGATAGCTTCTGTAGGCTACAAGTGTGTGATGTCTTAGTATCTGTTGAAGCTTTTGGTGAAACAGACCAAATGAACATGAACGGTGTTTGATTTGCATAGTTGGCAGATGAGACAGTTTGGGTTTTTTCTTTAAAATTTGTTTTAGAAATTCCAAAAGGGCAGCTTCCCTATAAAAATGCTGTGACTAATAGGAGTTGTTTGTCCTTTGTTACAGGAGTCACTTGAATGAGATCTTCCTTCTTACATGGCAGTAGGAGATACTCTTTGCACTATTCACTTTTTAACACTTCCAACAAACTAACTAGATGGACCTGGGGAAGAGAGGAGAATGGCTGAACTGGTTTTCCCATCGCCTAACAAAATCTGCACCTTTAGACGAGTTGCAAAAAATTAAAACAAAATGGCTGGAGGGAAGTCTTTCAGGCATAGACCAATTCTGTTCTCTCTCAAACTAATACCTGCCATAGATGATGGGGGGAAGATTGCTGGAGATCTGGGGAAACCAGCAATGATGGTTATTTATTTCCTTTTTGTGTTATCCCCTATTTATGTGAAAGTTTATCCATGTTCAGAAGATGTTGTTCATTGGGTGTTTTTTTTAGTGCTGTGACAGTGGTTTTGCTTGATAGCTAACTGACTGAATACTGCTGAATAAGCAACAAATTAATTTTGTATCAAAATGAGTCTTGAGTATTTGTTGAAATACAGATGCTTTATTTTTCTCACTTAAAAATTACTGATGTATTCTGTGTGAGTTTTTTCTGGTAAATAGTGCTTTTAATAATGTGTGTGTGAGTGTGATTGCTAATGAGAAAAATGAAGTTTGCAAGCTGCGTGAAAAGCAGGGAGAATGTGGAAAATGAATATGCATGTGGCTGAAACTGCAGGATTAAATTAGGCTTGAATTCTTTCTTGTTTCTTCCACAGCCTGCCCCACACAGACATTAGCAAATCACTTAACAAAGACTTGTTTCTTCATTCATAAACCAGCAATTTCTGTCTTGCAGAGAGGTGCAAAGCTAGCTGAGTCAAAGCTAATAAAATCTAGTGGGAAAGTGCTGCAGAAAGCTTCATTCCACTGCACTGGCTAAGCTTTAGGCAGAATTGGAATTGGGGGACCCTGGGTACCAATGTTGCTGCAGTTGGGTGTCAAGACATTATGGAGCAAAAGGAATGATTTTGAAATGGCTTTTCTCTTGCAGTGTACTATTTTCTTTTCCTTAAGCCAGTATAGATAACACTTTTCAAAGAAATGCAGATGTGACAGGAGTTCTGCCATACAGTTCTGTGTGCTGTTCACCATAGGGCTGTTACTGTGAAGCACTGGTAGTAAATGTGATCGGTGCTCTAAATGTTTGTTGTCCTTTGCAAATGCCACTCAAGAGATGCCCTTGTAATTTTACTGCTTGTGGAAAAACTTCGTATAACTATAAGAAGAAGCTGTCTTTGTTCTTTTTCAGGGTTAAACTGATGTGATTTTGTTGAACAAAAACTCCTGAGGCTAGATTAGTCAATTAGCAGACATTCTGATTACCTTCAGCAAGGGTATAGCTAACAGAGGTACTGTATCTTTTTTTAATATAAAGCTATTTTAATGCCTAACAAGAAGCACAGGCTTAAAATCTCTGAGCATCTCTGCCTTGCTCCTAATGATAACATGAAGAAACTCTCCAGAAGCTTAGAAAGCATAACAAAGGGTAGAGTGGGAAGCTAATGGGAAAATGTGTCATGCTGCCATGGTATCGGAGCGTTTATGTTCTTGAGACTTTTTTTTAAAACAGATTGTTAGTGAGTTCTTGTTGCAGCTACAGTTCTAGGACTGTGGGAAGGCAGGGAGGCAGTCAAAGGGTTGATGCTTAACATCATCACAATGCTGCTTGCTGTTCTGCGCTTTTAATTACTGTTAGAGCCACAGCCTGTAATTTGGGAATCGTGGGTTATGTTCCTTGCTTTGCCAAGACTTGACTCCCTTTCCCTTGAAATACTCAGTTGTCATAATTATGCTTGAAGCTTAAGGACATCCAAAATTAGAGGCATCATTATAGAAATCATCCTTTTCAGCTGAACTCTAAACCAAGAGAGAGTTCTTGCTGCCACCTGCTTTCCTGTATAATGATGTTAACAGCTGAAAGATCATTTGAAGAGCCTCTTTCTTCTAACTCTGCGGCTTGTCTCCTGAAATCAGCTGGACAGACCTATGTCTGTGACCTTCACGCTTTTTAGTCTTTCTGACACTACACAAAGAAACTTTCTGGATCGTAGATAGTACTTCTGTGGTACAGATTGGAAGACAAAGCGAGAATGAGTCTAAAATCACTGCATGTGTAATGTTGCTGACTTGCAGCACGATTGGCATTTTTGTGCTTCCCCATCACCCATTCTGGCTTCCTGTTTTTTATATCTCCCCCCACACCCCCAACCCACCCCCGCTTCCGTTTCCTGTCTGAGTATAGCTGAGTGGTTTCCCCTTTTCTCAAACCAGTTTTGCTCCTGGAATGATCTTTGCTCTAGCCGGAATATAAAGGGAGGCTGCAGCCAAGACGAGTTTTCTCAGACAGGACACAGGAGAGTGTTGCTAGACCAGGAGAGGAAACGAGGCTTTTGACTGCACAGGCTCAGGTTGGTTCATGTAATGCAGAATGGTTTATATTAATAGGGAAATATTTTTTTATTTTACAGCTCTGAGGTAAGGATGTGGTGTGTATCAACAGGGGAATGTATTTCTTGTAATCGGCTGCGGCTGGTTTGATGTCAGGCAGAGCAGAGCATTTTCTCCATGGTAAGTAATGACTAGTTCTATGTCAATCCAGCTCATTAAAGTTAACTGACAATGTAATGCGTACCAAGTATGTGCTGAAGATGTTTGGAGTCTTTTTCTGTGCTGGAGCAGAAAAACAATGAAGGTTTGAGATGACCTTGGAGAGAGATGCAGTAGGATGTGTGTGAAATCCCAGCCCCTCTATATCTACTGATGGTCAGAATTCTGTTCCCACCCTGCCTGCCCCCAAACAAGATGACTAAAAATGTGACTATTAAGGTTTCTGTCAGCCTTCCTGAGCCACTGGAAATGATAATGGCTACTGCAGTCAACTCATACATGCAATATAAGCATAGTAATTAATGACTGGGATTTCACAAGGTACTTATTATGGAACACTGTGACCACAAAGGGGCAAAGAAATTAAAATTATGCCAGCTTCTTACTCAAAAGGCGAAGAGTTGGATTTTTCTCTGTTCAGTGGGGGTCTCTAGCCTATTGCTAGTGGACCTGTTGCTAAATATTTTCACTTTCCTCTTGCAGTGAGATCTGGGAAATGTTCATCTGGTTGGAGGGAGATCGTCAAGCTTTGGTGACTTCTGCTTTCTCAGAATTTCACACTAGCTCTCCTTGACGTATGTGTCTACAGCACTGGTACTACCCTCGCAGCTGCTGATACCTCCGGTCTGGTACCACGCTGTTCTTTCAGGTATGACTGTAGTGTATCACTGTGTTCTGCAGGTGATTTGCAATCACTGAGTTAAAGACCACATGGGAGATGTGTTCCTGTATCTAAAGGATGCTTTTGCGTTCTCTGTCTGTTAACATACTTGGTTTCACCACCCCCCACTACTCGAGGCTTAGAGTCTGCTTGTTTAGTTTCTGGTTTTGTTCTTTTCAAGACAGGACAACATTGCTCACTAGTACTTCTCCCTCACCAAGATGTGGGAAGAAGATAATGACGAGACATGTTGGAATAACCTGGAGAACTTCCGTGTGAAGCTGATATCTGTGATAGATCCTTCCCGTATAACACCCTATCTTCGCCAGTGCAAAGTGATCAGCCACGATGATGAGGAACAAATTCTTAATGACCCCAGCCTGGTCATGCGCAAGCGGAAAGCAGGTGGGTGACATGCAGCCTTCATCTCTGTAGATGCTCCTGTGCTCTGTCTGCTCTTGGGAGCAGATTGGAACAGAGTGCTAATGGACTGGGCCTGAAGAAACGTGTTGCTTCTAAGTTACCATCTGCCTGTGTTGAGACACAAACATTGTAGGCAGTGCTGTGCAGCCCCTTTCCCCTCACTTTCACCACCATGTCATTGTGGGGAGAGAAGGAATGGAGATGGCTCTATCGATGCATTCCCGAGCTGCATAAGGATAATAGAATCACAGAGGGAGCATGGCCTTTTGGTGGTCTGGATCTCTAGAGTAGCATAAGGGAGGGTGTTGCTTTGGTTTGACCCCAAAGCTATTCTTGTGTAACGATTTTTCAGGGGGAGATTTCCAAGATTAATTCACCATGTATTGTCCCTTGTTCTTATCTTCTGGTGTCTGAGGGAATGCTGGCAGCACATAAAATAAATTCTTCATAACTCCTCTATACAGTCCTGGTCTTGTTCCAGCCAAAGAGAATGACAGAATTCATTATGCTGTTAGTACATCTTTTGGATTGGATTAACTATTACTGATAAGTTACTGAGGGTCTTTGAAAAAAATTATTTTCCCTCTTTTCCAGATTGGGAAACTGCAGAACACAGAAGAGAAGCTCCCTGGGCTTGATTTGGTACAGAGTATTTCTAGGCAAAGTAGGGAACTGAGCTCAAAGTTGTTTGGGTTTTTTTAGTCCAGGCTCTCTTAGGCTTGTCCCTTCTACCTCTCTAGTTATGCGCAGTGTTCTTACACCTGTGGTCCTTTTTCCTATATTTGCCTCTGGTATTTGGAAGTGGAGCCTCAAGCTGCAGAAACTGTCGTTGTGCTTTGTTGTAACTTACTTTTTCTGTAATTATCATCATCAGGATAATATAGAGCACTCTTCTGAGATCTGCTTTTTGCACCCAGTGTAGTAGGAACTAGGTAAAAGGGTTAAGTTTTAACTGTTCCTTCACAGTTAAAATACTTTTGTATAGTTACTGGGCAACTGGTTTAGGATTGGCTGGGGGATTTGATCCCAGGGACTTTAGTCTGCATGTGGAAAAAGTGGAACGGTTTTTTATTATGTTAGAAGTAGGTAAAGAGATAAATGAATAGAATATCCTGTTGCTATTCTTTCAGGTGTTCTTCTGGACATTCTTCAGCGAACAGGACACAAGGGCTTTGAGGCATTTCTGGAGAGTCTTGAGCTTTATTATCCACAACTGTATAAGAAAATAACTGGCAAGGAGCCCAGCAGGGTTTTCTCTATGATTATAGGTAATGTTTGTGTTCTGAAAACAGATCTCTGTTTGGTGTTGCTGTGCAGATTAAGGGGGGATTCATCTCTGCTTTTGCTTCTCCCCAGCTTCGGTGAGCAGAGTTGGGGGCATTCCCTGGCTTGTTCCCTGTGTGCTTCAGAAGGGTTCTGGCAAGAATGGCCCTGCTGTCTGGCATCCCAGGCCGGACCTGGGAGGGTGGAGGAGGAAACAGAAGGATCAGTTCTTCCTTCTGCCTGTTCTGTTAGTGACACTGTGGTGTAGAAAGGCACAGAACAGGGAGGAAACAGCAGGGATAATTTGATCACACGTGTCTTCAGGGTTTGCGTGCTTGTGTGTGGCATGCGATGATCCCAAGCTGTGGTGATAAGTGGGTGGGAACCTGTGCTGTATGTGTGTCTGGGGAGCAGACAGGACAGCAATGGCTGATGTCTGCCCACCAAACAGACACCGCTGGGGAATCCGGCCTGAGCCAGCTCTTGATGAATGAGATCATGAAGCTGCAGAGCACCGTGCAGGAGGAGCGGCGGAAGGCCCAAGAGCTCACCATGTGGCTACACACCAAAGAGGACACAATCAGAGAGATGTGGGTGAGGGACAGCCTGCTCCGCAAGCACCAAGAGCGGGCGCAGAAGATGAAGGAGGAGAGGGACAGCCTGAGCATGGAGCTGCGGAAGTGCAAGGACGAGAACTACAACCTGGCAATGAGCTATGCCAAACAGAGCGAGGAGAAGAGCACTGCTCTTATGAAGAACCGGGACCTGATCCTAGAAGTCAGTCACCCTTTTCTAAAGCTTCTCCCTTCTTACTTGATCCCTGGAAGTCTGTGCTGTGCACCAGACCTGTCTTTGCACAGGATGGTCTGGACCAGTCCAGCATGAAGTTCTGTGCATCTTCTCTAGAAGGTGGCATGTCTTGGTGGTCCCTAGCTCAGCCCAGGAGGCCTATGTATTACAAGTTATGCTGTGAAGAATTAAGTCTTCCCCTCATTCAAGACTGGGCCCTCTCACAAGACCAACATGTTGTATCCATTTAGCACTCAGGCAGGACTCTGGTCCCCAGAGCACTGAGCATGCTCAGAGGAAAACAAAACTGGGGAGAAACTTGCTCTATGTTTGTCTGGGGAATGGAGTCAGGGCTGCTTTTGCAGAGCAGAGTTTTCTCTTTGTTGCTGATAAGCTCTGAACCTTCTTGTAGATCGATCACTTGAAGCACAGCCTCATGAAGGCTGAGGATGACTGCAAACTGGAGCGTAAGCACACGATGAAACTGAAGCACGCCATAGAGCAGCGTCCAAGCCATGAGGTGATGTGGGAGATCCAGCAGGAGAAGGAGTTGCTCTTGGCCAAGAATCAGGAGCTGGAGAACACTCTCCAGGTTGGTGGGTGTCATTGGATATGGATTCCTGAGAAGTGATTATTTGTAGCACCCAGGGCAGCAATGGGGCTCCACTGAATATTGTGTGGGTCAGCTGTGGCCTTGTTCTCCCAAGTCAAACAGAACGCGTAGGACTGTGGAAGAGAGTTAATATGGAATTGGATGGTTGCTCTATGTCACTTCTTTTTGTCCAGCAGGTTGCCAGGGAACAGAATTTGGAGAAGAGCCTCTCCAGTGAGACTCTGGAGAATGACTGTAGCCAGATACTAGAAGAACGCCGGGAGCTGATGAACACCATTTACAGCCTTCGCAAGGAGCTGCAGCGAGCCGAGGTGCTCCAAGACAAAGTACGTGATGCACTGCAAGTTCCTGCTCAGGGTCAGTGGGTAAGATAGGCAAATGAAGCACCTGCAGTGTCTTGGCTATGGAGCAGAGGAGCTGCTCAGCAGCAGTCCTTGCTGCTCCTACTCTAGTGTCTGTTGTTGAAAAAAGGCACACTAATGTTTTAGCATTCTGTGTCTGTGGCATTAAATGTTACCTGTTAATGCCTGCATTGTGTTAATTAAGAGTCCCTGCCTCAGCCTGGAGGGTAATGGGAGCTTTTACCATGACTGACAGCTCAGGTACATGTAAATCCATCATGTTACCTGTCCACCTAGTCATGTTGACTAACCTTCTGGTTGGCCTTGCTCCAATTGGACAGTCTGGCTGAACTTTGACATTGCATGGAGGTCTGGCCATAGCAATCTGTGGCACTGTGGAACAGAGCAGAAGTGGTGAAAGTCTAGCTCAGGCTCTGCCTACAAGCAGGGTGCTTTTGACCTTGTCTCAACAGTATGCAGAGGAAAAAGAGATGCTTGAACTACAGTGCACATCTCTGAGGAAGGACTCCCAGATGTATAAAAAACGGATTGAAGCTGTCTTGCAGCAGATGGAGGAAGTGGCTTTGGAAAGAGACCAGGTGATAAAACATTCCTCTTGGAGCTGCTGCTAATCCCTGCTTCACTGCTTGAAGTGGGCAGATGCTGTAACCCTGAATGTACTGTTGTGTGACATGCTGTGACATGTCCCTTACACCAGGCACTCCTGACCCGAGAACAGTTCTATACACAGTACTCCAAGAACCTGGTTGAGAGGGATGCTTACCGCAAGCAGATTCGGGAGCTGGGAGAGCGATGTGATGAAATGCAACTGCAGCTCTTCCAAAAGGAAAGTCAGTTACTGGCTACTGAAGTCAAGATGAAAAGATTGCAACTGGAGTTACCCACACTGGTATGCCTGCGGGGTTGTCATCGGTGGGATGGGTTGGGAAGCTGAGCTTAGGGCCAGAGTGTGGCTGTTCCAAGGCCTTTGCACCTAACCAGTTCAAATTCAGCAAGCAGTGGCCAGCTGCGTGGGTAACCATTCCCATGCAAATGCTGAGTTTAGAAAAATTAAAGAAGTGATGGTTCCTATTACCTCACCCTGGTTCCAGGCATGGATAAGCTGGACTGATGCAAGCTGAGGCCTTCCATGTTTGTGTTTGGAGCATGTCTGAAGATGATGAGGGGATCCTCAACCACCAGAGTGAACTCTACTTAGAGACTGTGTATGAGCTATTTGGGTGAAATGACAGCAGGGTGTAAGGGTGCTAAAGTTTCTGGAATGAAATCAGATCTACAAGGGCTTTTAATTAATGTGGCATCTTGTGCACTTTCTCTAAGTGGCCAGACGGGATTGTAGGAGGGAGGAAGTCCACATTTCTCTGTTTCCTAGAGCTTTCAGTCTCCTGTATGTTCCCTTACTATCACTTCCTTGCTTATGAGGAATGATTAATTTATACTGTTTTTATTTCAGACCTCTGACCTGGATGATACCTCTTCCAGAGATTCTCAAGAAGTGAGTAGGGTGCCTTTTTTACCTTTTACTTTCTTCTGGGGTGGTTTCAAATTTAGCACTTGTGCTCAGTTCCCTAAGTAATAGCAGTTTTCAATCCATGGCTTAGGCTCATGTCAGTGATATCAAAAAGTACAGAGGTAGCAAAACAGACCAGTGACAGAATCTCTCTGTCCTGAGATTTTTGAGTGTAGGACACAGTTATGGTGTTAAGTCAGCAAGATTTGTTGAGTCTAAGAAAATCAGGGGAATTGAATTATTTTGAGTTGCTTCTAATTGTCTCTCTTGTGGGAACAGGCAAAAATAAGTCTCACCCCAGGGATATTTGTAGTATAGAGTTTTCACTTAGTTCAGAACTTTACTGGGGAAGTGGTTGTCACATTGTCTGGAGGCTAAAAGTATAAATGAGGCCAAAGGAACTGGGTCTATTCATGGAGGATAAATCCATGAGTAGATAGATCTGTGATTTCTGGCTCAGTCTCCTGTTTTGCTGACAGCCAGATGCGCTAAGGAAAGGTCAGTTCTACACATGTCCTTATATTCCTCCATCTGTTCCTAGCTACTGTTTGAGACGGAGTAGGGGACAGTTCTCATGTTCTTGCTTTGTTTCTGTCCCATAGCTTACTCTTCACGGTCATCTAGATGAAGATACACAACCGACTAAAAGTAAGGCTTTTCTTGGGAAAACATAGAGTGGAATTCTTGAGAGGATGGTCCAGTGTTTCAAAGGGACAGGAAATTACATTCCTGGGTTTTATTTGTAGTGAAGAACAGGTAGTCTGACTGGTGACTCAGTTTGTGAGAGATGCTTCTCAGTGGGGTGTGCTTGGCACTCTGAGTAAGACCGCCCTGAGATGACTCGGAATAGGTACCCATAAATCAAGGCATTCTGCCGTACCGCCATCTTTCTCACCTATAAAAAGGAGAACATGTTCCCCAGATTCTGGGAACAGTGAATGCTTGTAAAGTTTTTTTGAGAGGAAAAAGCTCCACAGGCTTTTTGCTACATGGTCTCTGAAAAGATCTTTTATATAGCTGAATGACCTGGGAAAAGTGGTATCATTAGACCATCCTAGGACCTAGAGTCTTTTTTTTGAGGTAATCTGTCTGCTGAATTTGTCCAGGAAAAATGATCTGGTACCTGGTGCCTTTGAGAAAGAGCCCCTGGGTGCCTCCCTGCCCGCC